TATATATATATATATATATATATATATATTAATTTCACCAAAAATAAAAATAAATTAATAAATCAAAATTCAAAAGATGCATCATCAGGTTGCCTTCAATTCGCATATCAATTAAAACAGTGACCAGAAAAAGAATTATTCTTTCGTTTTAACCTAAAATGATAATATCATATTCTTTGCTTCTAAGCTTTTTGTTTTACATTGTTATGGTAACATCCACTTTTCCACATATATTTTTACTTACAACCATATCAATGCATGGGTAATATACATACATATATATATACATATATACGGTTGGGTTCATATGAGACCAGTTTGTTTTTGAGTCCCGTAAAACCATTTTTTTACATTTGAAACTTCACAGCAAAACGTTGTGATGGTAAAAAAGAGCCGAACCTTTACAGCAAAATTACCTTCACAATGTTTTCGTGTAAATTTTAAATGTAAAAATATGGTCTCACCAGTATCATAAATTAAAGATTTTCTTTTAGTAAATTATATACAAGATAAAACTAATTTACTAATTAAATCTTCACTGCAGACATAGAAGTAAACAAATACAAACAAATTTCTATGCAAAAAATTAAAGCTTTTTGAACAAAAATGATCAAAAAATCCCAGGAAATTGCAACATAAAATTAACAGAAAGGATCAACTGCATATTCTTTCTATAACACCATTTTGTCCTTTGGACAAACCCAATAAATATATATATATATATATATATATATATATATATAAACGATCAATTGCAAACCACTCATATTTGTAAAAACCATCCATCAAACGAGAGTAGTAACCAAATAAAAGAACACAAAAACAATTAAATCAAGTGTAAAATCACATATGATTTTACACTAACGGTCAACGCAAAGGAGTCTGGGTTGATGTGGTGGCCAAAATCCCGTATGATTTTACACATGATTATAACGTAAAATCACATGTGATTCGACCGTTTTCTTATCTCTTATTTGGTTACTGTTCTACTATGGACTCGATTCTCGTCATACATATATCATTTTCAAATTAGTCCAAAACGATAAAAAGAAATATCACAAAATTAGGGTTCATAAGGTTTGCAAAAAAAGGAGTCGAAATTCCAACCTTTTTACTTGGAATTTATGATATTTCCTTTTGAAATTTTATAAAGGGAAGTGTTTAGGCTTCTTTACATTTTTCTCTGCTCATGTTTGTGTTCCCTTGGGAAAAATTTATGATTGAAAAACAGGAAAAAATTTGCAACAAAATTCAGCGAAGAAACCATTAGATCCATGATCCAAACAGAAAAGACAAAATTTCAAAACAGAAATTCAAAAAAGTACTAATCATTTCCCTTTTTTATGAATATTAAAATAAAATAAAATAAAACCCTAGATCTGCACCTCGTCAGTTTAATGACGAATTGTACCATCAAATTACTCCAAAACGTGTCGATCTCTCGTTCGATCTCTCCTTAGTGTAAGAACCATCAATGAAACAAACATTTTCGAAGATCCAATCACAGAATTAGACGATTTCGTTACCACAAATTCATGTAATATGTAATATTATGTATGTATAGATTGCTACAGACAGTCGGTGAATGTACAGGTGACTTACCCGACGCTTCCGAACTCGTAGAGCTTATCGCGGCTGGAGAAGATGATGAGACCGACTTCTGCATCGCAGAGGACCGATAGCTCGTAAGCTTTCTTCAGTAAACCGTTTCTTCGCTTCGAGAAGGTGACTTGTCTGTTGATTTTGTTCTCTATTCTCTTCAGCTCCACTCTTCCTCTCCCCATAACAATGGCTTTCTCTCTCTCTCTCTCTCTCTAACTCTCTCTCTCTCTCTAGATTTCTTCACAAGAAGGAGATGATGGGTTTTGCTTAAAAGGGGAGAAAATATGGTGCAGAGAGGATCGTACTAACGGAGTGTCAAAGTGGTTATGAAAATAATACACATTTTAAAGGTTGTGGAAGTTAACGGTATGATGAATTCATGTTCAGATTGATGGTCAACCGTTAGTCAAAACTCGTAATCAGTTAGTATATTCATCAGCTATTTACCGCATACTGTTAGTTGTTATTCCTAGGGGTGGATTGTAAGATCCCACATTGGTTATGGAGGATAATAAATGTTGTTTTATAAGGGATTGAATACCTTCTCTTTGGTAGTGGTGAGCATAGACGGGTACCCGCTTTATTTGATAGGAACCGACGGTTCTTGAGATATTGGAACCGGAACTGGTTAGAGCGGTTTCTGAATTTTTGGAACCGGTTCCTCGTACCCGGTTCCTAAAATATTAAAATTTTGTTATTTAAAAATAAAAATTAAAACACTAAATAAATAAACAAGAATACAAATTATACGGAATAATGGTTATAAATATTGTTTAACAATTACAAACCATAATAGACTGATAGTAATGTTGAAAGTTTAATAATTACATACTATAATTGTAAATGTTTAAAGTTTAACGATTATGAGTCGATGAAGACGGACCGTGCGAGGCCTTGGACCCGAGAGTATGAGTCGATGAGGTGGGACCTAAAATCTAATCTAGAGTTTTAAGTTCTTGACCTAATTTAAATTTAGTATTAAAAAATTAATTATTTTTTTAATTGAAAAATACCGGATACACGTTGGTTCCGGTTCAGGGTACCCGCCGATTCCGGGGTCCCGAAACCGGTCTCGGCGGGTAACGGTTCCAAAAAGTTGAGAACCGGTATCGGAACCATTCTCAATCGTTTCTGTATTTTAGGAACCGAAACCACTCATATCGGTTCCAGTTCCAGAATCGGCAGTTCCGGTTCCGCAATTTGGTACCCGGTTCCGCTGCTCACCCCTACCTCTTGGGGGTGTATCTTACACGAGACAAATCGTGAGCTACTCGAGATCGAATCGATCAAAGTTCGGTCAACACTCGACTCGAATAGGCTCGGCTCGAACTTGACTCGACTCGACATATTAACGAGTCTAGTCAAGCTACCCAATACTGGACTCAAAAATCTCGTGAGATACTCGATTATTTTATATACAATTAGTTTTAAAATATAATCAGTTTTTATGATAAAATTTGTAAAATATAAATAATAAAAATGTCTTATATTTTTAAATATTTAAACAAAATTATACATTTTTAATTGTAAGAATTAATCAATTATTTTTTATTAGACACAACTTAATTTGTCCGATAAACTACTAGAGGCTTCCCATGGTTTAGTAAAAGGGAGGGGAGATTTGCTCTCACAATTAAAAAAGACAAAAGAAACTATAAAAAAGAGTTAGTGAAATTGTCCCACATTGAAAGTGAAATGATGAAAAGAAGGAAGAAAAAATGTTATAAAAATAGAGAGAGGTGAATGAAATTTCTAACTTTGTCTTTTTTCATGATGAAGTTTGAAGTTGAACTCTTTAGTTTTATAAAAATTTATAAGAGAAATACGCACAAATTTCATAAATTTCAATGGGTGAGTTTGACTCGAGCTTTATTAGAGTTTCAGTTCAAGTTTGATTTGAGTTGCAGTTTGAGCTTCATTCGAGCTCGAATTCGAGTTTGATTCAAGTTCGAATTTGAGTTTGAGCTTGAGAAATAGTTATCGAGTTCGAGTCGAGCTTTGATTTTTACTACTCGTGAGTTTTCGAGTCGAGTTCGAGCTTGGAAATTCGGTTTCGAGTTCATGTCGAGTATAGTGATACTCAAACTCGACTCGCATCATTTACACCTCTATCTTCTCTATTAGACGTGTTTTAAAACCGTGAGTCCGGATGTACGAAAAAAGCGGATGATATCTGGTATGGTTGGGCTGAGATGTTACAATCTCTATCTATAACTATTTATAAAATAAAAAATGAATGATGCATAAGCCCTCACGACCATGTATGAAGATTCGTCTGCGATGACTCATAACATTCGTGATCGTTTGAAGGATTAATCGGTGTGTATAAGTTGACCCGAAAACCGATCATTCAGATAAAACCAATCACCCTGAAACAATACAGATTAAACAACCTTTGACTTCCAGAAAAACTCTTCCAAGTTCTGTGGAAAAAAGAAATTCGTCAAGAAATATAAAATATACACAATTATAAATAACTTATGGTTTTTTTGTAAAAGTGTTTATCAACTTATGTTGTATCAAACTGAAGTTTCATAAAAAGTGTTTAGATTAGCTTATGACGATACCAAAACGTAATAAACTGATAAGTTGTTTTTTAGTGTTTGACAAATTTTGCTTATACATGTAAAATGATAATAAAAAATGACAGTCTTCTAAACACCCCCCTTAAACTCTCTTCAAACTAGTCGTTTTCTCTCAATCCTCCAATGGCAACAGCTTCCTTGGAATCCCGATCTCCAAATCCCCTCAGTAAGGTTGTTCAATGGAATTCCAATTCCTTTTCTTCACCAAAATGCAAGACATCGATTATCACAAAGGCAAAAAAAATCAGTTATGTAGGAAGAAATCACAGCAAGAGATCGCTTACGTGAGGAAGAAGGTCGATTCGACGGAGGATGGAGAAGTCGATTTCGATTTTTGTAGGAGGAACTAGTTCGATTTAAGAGGAACTTGTTTGATTTTTTGAGGAACTAGTCGCTTGAGGAAGGAGGTGTATCGAGAGTTTCCAAACCAAAAGAAAAATCCAAGGAAAAAATCCCCTTGTGGCCACGGAGGTTCAAATGCGGTGACTTCGAGCTATCTGCAAAGCAGGTGGTTGTCCTGGGATTAGTCGGCTCGCAAAACGTGTTGGATATCCAGGTTAATAAAAAAAAGGGTTAAAAAGGTCGTTTGATTTCCAAACCTAATAAGTTGAATGTGATAAGTTAAAGGGGAGTAACTTATCAAAAACTTTTTATTACCGGTTTGACACCGGTATAAGCTATTCTTTATGTCCCCATCTAAACACTAAAAACTGCTCATTACCGGTATCATATTGAAATAAGTCAATAAACAATTTTCATAAGCAATCCTAAACACCCCCTAAATATTTTAAATTAAAAAGTATGAATGTAATTTATTTTAGTTTTAGAAATAAAATTCTATACGTTTACAATCTGATAATTATAAGATTAAAACTTCGTAACAAAATCAACAATAATCTGACCACGGTTCAAACAAATAAAAAGTTTAAATACGTTCGGTTCTCAAATACATATTACATAATAAAAAAATAGACTAAGTAAAAAAGTTCACTTCAAATTAAAAATATTGCATAAACAGTCTCATTATTCTCTCTCTCTCTCTCTTTCTCTCTCTCTCTCTATATATATATATATAGGGGAAGGTTCAAATGAAAATCATGTCATTCTAAGAAACCGTGTAAACCAAAATCGATCAATAGGAAAATTTCATTCTTTTTTAATTAAATTTAATCAATAAGGTCACTTTGGTCATTTTCATTATTCTTTTTCATAAATAAGGAAGTTATTAAGGAATATTAAATAAGAAAATTTAATAATGGAAATTATATAAATGGAATGATTTAAAGATTTTATTATTTTATAATATTAAAAATTGATTTGTTTTTTTTTATTCAATGAAGCTGGAAACATTCATGAAGATTTTATCTTGTTATGTAATGAATGAATGATTTGATGTTCATTGTATAAAAAATTACCGGTTATGAACCTGTTTCATATGAAGAGGTTTTAAAATGAAAAAGTTTCATATTACCATATCATAATATATTAATGTTCATATTAAAATGTTTCATTATGAAGAAACGGTTGCATATTATATTAAATGCATAATGAAAATGTTTCATAATAATGAAGCATGTTCATAATGAAACTGTTTCATAATGAAAAGGTTCATATGGGGCAAATTTCATGAAACTGTTTCATAATGAAAAGATTCATAATGATGAAGCATGTTCATGATCTAATACTCTAGGCATATTGTCCAAATTATTACTCTAGACATATTATCCACTTTAATGAAAAGGTTTCATGAAATTGTTTTATAATGAAAATGTTCATAATGATGAATCATGTTCATATGAGTGGAATAAGGAAAATGAACTATTGATGCAACGGTTTCATCAAACGTTTCAAAACAGTTGAAAAATTGAAATAATATAATCTCTCTATTTCCAAATGAAAATATTGTAATGAATAGTTTCATAAACAAAGTTCAAAAAACAATGGTCATGAAACTGTTTCAATGTGAAAATGTTTCATTGTAAAATGGTTTATTTGCTCCGTCTATGCATATTATACGTGTTAATGAAATAGGTGCTTTGTGATTGAAGTTTCATGATTATCCTTGTTGCTTTGTGATTGAATGTACATCTAGGTTCATGGTGATCCATGTTGTTTTGTGATTGAAGTTGATCCGTTTAGTTGGTAGGGTGAAAATGAAACAGGTGCGTAATGTATTGTGTTCTTTTATGAAATAAATATATGATGAAACGGGTGCATGTTATATTTTGTTCTTTATGGAGTTAATGTTAATGTGAAAAGGTTTTATTATAAAATGGTTCATTGATGTTATATTAATGTTAACTTTTGTTTATGGAAATTAATGTTATATTGATATTAACTTTTGTTTACCAATTTGCCCTTATCATTGAAATAAAATAATTTATTTATATTTTTTATTTTTTAATTTCCTAAAATAAAGTAAACTAATCTTAGTCATTGATCAAGAAAATAGATGAATAAGATTGGTTTACACGGTTTACACAAATGGGGCAAGTTTTTATTTGAACGCTCCTCTATATACATATATAATTTATATATAATATCTATATATATATATATATAGATATATTATATATAAATTATATATGTATAATATT